ATCCTCTGATGGGTCTGTCCAGTGAACTTGCCCATAGCAAGCATCCATGTGTCGCATCAGGTTGTCAGCAAACAACCTTGACAAGTGAGATCAGTCACAGCCTTTCGACAGGGTCGTTCAACAATATGATAGCCTTATTGTATTCAATAATGATATGGACACCGATACTATGCATCGAATTGTTACACCAAATTATGTGTCCCGTGACTCAGACTAACCACGTATCCCATGAACCAATATTTTGCGAGTGAACAACCGTTCATCAACTATGGACGGTCGTTCACTGTTATTGGACAGGAGTCCATTATATGTGGATGCCCGTCCTTGCGAAACGACTATGGACGGGAGTCCACATAAAATGGACACCCATCTACACTTAAAAAAATAAAATTTTAAATAAAATAAAGGGACAACCGTTCACCATTTCTGGACGACCGTCCCTTAATTTTGGACCCCCGTCCATACTGTAAATTTTAAAAATATTTAAAATATCTTATGGACGGTTCTAGAGCTGTCAAAAGCATTAAATATTCTATGGAGTTCTCTCAATGCGAAGACATGTTAAAGTCATGTTGATTTTGCTGGTTTGTCATTGCATATGATGCGAAAACTGGCATCTGCTTTGGATGGAATATGATGTTGTCTAACAAGTGGGAGATTGATGGAATTTACTTTTTCTGTTCTTCGGCCTTGTTCCTGGGGTTTTATCTACTTTGTACTTCTCTGTCGTCACACTACAACAATTACTATTATTGGCTTAGCTGGTGAAAGGATCAGAGCAAGTCTTGTTCTTTTGTTTTCAGAGCATTGATATGGTTGCTTGTGTTACAACTAAAATTAAACTTTCAAATCTAGCTGAAGTACTTTCAGACACTTGCTATTTTACCACCTTTTTTCGCATTTTCTTCCTTGGAAACATACTGGCAATCTAGTCAGTGAGTAGATTTTACACTGAGCCTCCTAAAATGCTGAAATTGATCAACCTGGAGTTTGGGTGCTTGTAGCTGGTGGCAGCTCTGTTTCTGTTTTCTTTTCCTCTTTATCATCAAAGAACAATCTATCCATGTGACTATCATCTGATACAGTGATGACTGAAAGTATTTTATTTTCAGTGTTTAGGGGACATGGTTTTCTTCTTAAGTCAAGTATCAGTTGTCAGATGTTCTCTTGATTTAGTTCCCTTTATGATGGGTGCATGGACTCATTTCTTGACTGCATAGTTGACCGATTTCTTTTGTCACCTGCTGGCATGGTATGAACCGCCATAGAAGAAACTAGAAGCATGAAGAATTTGAGAACAACGTTTAGAATGAAGAGATTGTTTGATGATGCACGGTAGTTTGTAACTGATATTAGTCATCGTGGATAACAGAGAGATTGATTTGTGCATAATATTTCTTCTCATTGAGATCCGTGCTGACTGTGTTTGCCTGTTTAGATTATGGATTGGTTTTGTGACGTCAAGAAGGACAACACCCAGAAATTAACATTTTGATAATCCTTTTGTTGAGATTATGGACTGGTTTTGTGACCTGTTTAGAATATTTAATGCTTCTGAAAACTCCATAGAAAAATTATATGGATGGGCGTCCCAAAAATTTGTTTTCAAATTTTTGTTTTAATTGAAACAATTGACGGGCATTCATTATATGTTGACTCCCGTCCATCACTGAGGGATGCCCGTCCATAAGTTTTTTAATTTTTTTTAAGATATTTTAATTTTTTTTTAAATTTACAGTATGGACGAGTGTCCATACTATGTGGACGGGGGTCCAAAATTTAGGGACAACCATCCAGAAATGGTGAATGGTCGTCCCTTTATTTTATTAATTTTTTTTTTTTTTTTTTTTAAGTATGGACAGGCATCCATTTTATGTGGACTCCCGTCCATAGTAAATGGACTCACGTCCATATAATATGGATGAGAGTCGGGAGTCTATCCTTCGTTTCGCATGGACAGGTGTGCACATATAATGGAGTCTCGTCCAATAACAGTGAACGACCATCTATAGTTGATGAATGGCCGTTCACTCGCAAAATATTGGTTCATGATATATGTGGCTGGTCTAAGTCACAAGACACGTAATTCGGTGTAGCAATTCGGTGCACAGTATCTGTGTCCGTAGCATTGTTGTATTGTATTATCTGCATCCTTGGTTAGAATAATACTAGGGCGATGGACATTTCTAGAATGACCACCATATGTGATCATAGGTTTCTCACTATCAAGATTTGAAACAGTTGATACCATTGTCACAGTTTTACCATCTTAAGGACATATATCAATACATATGATATGATTTACGTGATATAGTGAATAATGCCTTTTATTGATTAATAAACATTATTACAAATAGTCAATTTCACAATAATTGATTAGCTCTAGGGCACCTACTCCAACAATTATAGCAATCAACTTAAACAAATTCTCAACATGTGGTAGCGTGCCGAATGCACCAAATTAATTAACCTTACTAACCTAACTACTAAATTGTATATAGGGTGAGCAAGGGTCGATCCCACAGGGAATGATTTGATTAAATCCTATATTCTATGCCGATAGCCACAATGAAAACAATAGAAAAATACAATAAAACCCTAAACAATAAACAGGACAATGGAGTAATGAAAGGGGTTGTAGACAATGCAATCTAAAGTGAAACAAATAAATCTCCAACGGTAGAAAATATCAGATTAAAAACACCCAGTTCTCGGTTCAAGATCCACATAAACATGCATTGGACATGAACTAACCGTAACACTATTCTATCTCGTTATTATGGAACTACTGACCCTAGGAAACAACAAGCTCTGTTATCCGAATTTTTCCTTAATTGTAACTACTGAAATAAGCTCTCCAAGTAGATCCCAACCCTTGAACAACCTAGAATAAGCTCTCTAGGTTTAATTCAATGGCAGCCTTAAGAATTAGGAAAATAGATCATTCTAAGCAACAATCTCGCAAGCTCAGATTATTTAACTTACATTATGTTATTCAAGGTGACAGACTGAAAACTTGTCCATAATCATCTATCACCATGTGTTACTCATTGAATAGAAATAGGGCAATTACGTATCACAATTCCTAATTCTAACAGATAAAATTCCGATTAAACAATTCAGCAGGCTATTACTAAATCACTCAAATAGAAAATTATAAACAATTAAAACAGAATAACATAAACAATTCCAATAAAAATGAGATTGAGAACAATGTTACTGAAGTTAAGTTACACTAATGACATGAATTCAGGCTTCAAAATCCCCTTGAACTGAAGAAGAAAGATCAGCCGCACATCTTGACGTAGCAAGTAAAAGAAAACCCAAAAAAAACTAAAAAACTACTGCTGTTCTCCTCTCTGGTTAACCTAACACTCCTCAATAAATAACATTTTTTTTTCTTAATTCTACCCCAGGAATCACGAAAAATCTTTCCTAGACGTTTCCTAAAAGATAGACTTCCAGATTTGTCAAAATCTTATCAGATATGAAAAACAGAATTCGTCTCCAGTTTGCACCAGGATTCTTGCAATGAAAAAGATCTTTTCTGGGCTTGGTCACTTCATAAAACTTGTAGTCCCAGATGTGTATATGAATCTGGGCTTTTGAATCCCCCACTTTCGATATCTGACGCTCCAGTTAGGCCCGTTCGAAAATTCAATACTCAGCCAGCAAATCCTTCCGCGACTAGGATTCCAGGTCCGGTTTTACAACAACTAATGAAGACCTAAACGAACTCGGATTCTTAGCCATAATACCTTTCTAGAAAGCTTGATTCGTCTACTTTATGTTTTCTGAAGAACACTTTTGCAATCGAGAAATCTGACTCCATGAAAAACCTGAAAAACGCAGCACTAGTCAGAATAACAAAAATCTGGAATTTCCTAATCTTTTATCACTTATTTCCTAAAGTCTATCCAACTATGCCAAACTCACAAAATAAACTCTAATCAACTCAAATAGGCATAAAACATAACAAAAAACATAATATGGAAGGAATAAAAATATATAAATTACACTCTTATCAACATGCACACAAAACATATCATCTCAACCAATTTACATATAAGATAATTGCATAAGATGATGAATCATACCTGGTTCACATTTATCATTCAATGCTCTTTTCGAATGGTGTAGAATCTTTCTTTATCAAGAGGCTTAGTGCCCCAATTGGTGATTAGTATCAACAAATTCAAGCGCAATATCACCTTTGCTAACATGATCACATGGGAAATGATGTCTAATGTCTATATGCTTTTTTCTAGAATGATGTACAAGATTTTTAGACAAATTTATAGCACTTGTATTATCACAATGAGTAGGAATGCTATTCATTTTGCAACCAAAATCTTCAAGTTGTTGCTTCATCCAAAGAAGTTGTGCACAACAATTAGCCGCTAACACATACTGGTGTGCTATCGTAGACAACCAAGATTAAAACCTAAAAACACATGTAGTAGTGTGAGTAAGGATTGTTCCCATGGAGAGTGTCTAGTCGAGTTTTATGTTACGTGAAAAAGGCTGGGGGGGTTTGAGTAAAACAGAAACAATTTCAGTTAAAAAAACAATTCAAATTAAATTATCGAAATCAATCAAAATAACGAACCTTTGTCTAAGTCAACATCCACCATCAGAATTAAAACACAACCTAAATCCCCTCCCCCACACTTAAAACTGACATTGTCCCCAATGTAAGATGAAATGCAAAGAAAAGGCAAAAATAACCAAAATTTAAAATGCGAGAATAAGAAAACAAACTCCCCTCGGGTTGCCTCCCAAGCAGCGCCTTTGTTTATTGTCGTTGGCTCGATGGTGTCAATGATAATGAAAACCAACCTTTTTCAAAGAAAAATTGCATCTTCCTTTTGATCCTGGATTTCGACCAAGAATTATGTTTTATCATCCTAATGTTCGAGACAAAGTCAGAATGCGTTATTTACAAAAGGGTCCTTGTCAACCTCGCAACCATAAGTTTCCCAAATCAAAATCTGGTGATCATGAACAGAGTTTCCAACGTTCTTGGTTTGACAAATATCCTTACTGGTTTGACTATAGTGTTGAGAATGATGATGCATATTGTTTATGTTATTATCTTTTCAAACCAGATAAAGGTGAGCAAAGTGGCTGTGATTCTTTTGTTCATGATGGGTTTCGCAATTGGAAAAGACTTGAAAATTTTAAATATCACATTGGAGGTCCTAACAGCTATCATAACCAAGCGTTGAAAAATTGTCAAGCTTTGATGAACCAAAAGTAGCATGTGTGTACAATTATTAATAAGAAATCTGACCAACAGCGAGAAGATTATCGTATTCAGTTGAAAGGATCAATTTCTGCTAGTTGGCTTCTTCTTCGGCAAGGATTGCCTTTTCGTGGCCATGATGAGTCTGATAATTCAATGAATCGGGGAAACTTTCTTGAACTTTTACACTATACAGTTGAGGAAAATGAAGAATATAGATTAGTAGCATTGGAGAATGCTCCTGGACATGATAAATTGATTGCTCCTAGTATCCAAAAAGACATAATCAATGCATTTGCAGTTGAAACCATCAACAAACTAATTAGTGATCTTAGAGATGCTTTTTTTTCTATATTAGTTGATGAAGCTCGTGATGGATCCAACAAAGAGCAGATGGTAATTATCTTACGTTATGTAAATAAAAGAGGATGTGTTGTTGAGTGTCTATTGAGCATTATGCATGTCACAGATACGACTGCTTTGTCACTAAAGATGGGAATCGAAACATTGTTCTCTAAATACAATTTGAGAATATCAAGATTACGTGGACAAGGTTATGATGGTGCAAGTAATATGCAAGGTCAGTTTAATAGATTAAAAGAACTTATATTGAAAGATAATGAATATGCCTTCTATGTTCATTGTTTTTCTCACCAACTTCAACTAGCACTTGTAGCTGTGGCAGAAAAGGATACAAATATTGAGAGACTTTTTTGAAAGTTTCTTGTGTGATAAATATTGTTGGATGGCCACCTAGACGTCGGGATCTTCTTAATGAGAAACAAGCTTTGAAGGTGAAAAAAGCTATTGAAAGTGGTGAGCTTTCAATAGCGCAAGGCCTTAATCAAGATACTAGTCTTAAGCGGCCAGGGGAAACACGGTGGGGTTCATATTATGGGACTTTATTGAGCTTGATTAATTTGTTTTCATTTGTTATTGAAGTGCTTGAGGATCTTACTGAAAATTCTGATAATAGAGTTGAAGCAAGTGATTTGGTAGATTATATGACTTCTTTTGATTTTGCTTTTAACCTGCACATGATGAAAAACATTTTGGGAATCACATTTGAACTTTCACAAGCACTGCAAAGGAAGGATCAAGATATTATAAATGCTATGTCTTTGGTTCACTTGTCGAAAAGAAGATTATAGTTGATAAGAAATAATGGATGGGATAATCTACTAGATGAAGTTTCTCATTTTTGCATTGTTCATAATATAAATGTGCCAAATATGGAAGAGAAATTTGTTGCACGAGGGAGATCGCGGCGTAATGTTCAAGAGATGACAAATTTATTTTATTATCATGTTGAGTTGTTCTATGCCATAATAGATTTGCAACTATCAGAGCTTAACAGTCATTTTAATGAAGCTAATACAAAATTACTTATTTGCATGGCCTCCCTAAATCCAAGTGATTGCTTTCAAGCATTTGATAAGGGAAAAATAGTTCATTTTGCTTAATTTTATCCACTTGAACTTTCTTCTACTGATCTTAAGGCACTTGAACTTCAACTTGATAATTACATTGATGATATGCACTCGGATAGTGATTTTTCATAACTAAATGATATTACCAGTCTTGCTCAGAAAATGGTTGAAAAGAAGAAGCATCTTATTTAATCATTGGTATATTTGCTCATCACATTGGCTTTAACCTTACTAGTTACAACTACAAGTGTAGAAAAGGCATTTTCTGCTATGAAAATTGTGAAGACTCATTTAAGCAATCAGATGGGAGATCCATTCTTGAATGACAGCCTAATTCCATATGTTGAGAAAGAATTATTTGACAGTGTTGATAAGGAGATGGTGATGCAACGATTCCTCAATATGAAGCCCCACCGAGGACAATAGTAAATGTAATTTTTTTTTTCTTTTTGTGACAATTTTGATTAGAAAGACAGAATATGAATGTTATGTATACTTAGTTTTCATTTGGCCCACCCTAACAGAAATTCTTGGATCCGCCCTTGAGCCTAGGTATGGGATACCTATACTTGATTGTGATGTTGTTTATAGCCCGACTATCCACACACATTCTATAACTCTCATCTTTTTTTGGCACTAACAATGCGGGAACCGAACAATGGCTCATGCTCTCTCTCATATACCCCCGACTAACAAGCTCATCAACTTGCCTTTGCAACTCTTTTGTCTCCTTTGGATTGCATCTATAGGCTTGTTTGTTTGGTAAGAGTGACTCGGGTAATAAATCAATGTGGTGCTCAATCCCTATCAATGGTGGTAACCTTGGTGGTAGCTCTTTGGAAAGACATCTTGGAATTCATGTAGTAAGGGTTGGACTAAAGGATGGATCTCTCTCTCTTGGGTTTCTTTTCTCTCAACTATGAGTAGTGCTAGGACAAGTTTTGGTTATTAAGGGTCTTGTCTACTTGGTTGGCATTTAGGAATAGACTTATTTGTGGGTTATTAGGTTTGGGCGGTTTAGGTGTGGGAAGTGCTTGTTGGGGTGGTAAAGGGGATAAGGTGATGGTTTTCTTGTTAAACCTAAAGGTGTAGGTCTTCTTTCTCCCATTATGCACAAACAACTACAAGGTTTAGGAGCTTAAACCTTGTAGTTGCTTCTCCACCTTGTTAGCCAGCTTGTATACATCCCCAAATGAATGATAAGGCTGCAACTTCACTTTGTGAGCTATTTCCTTTTGTAAATCTCCCAAAAATCTAGTGACAATCTGCTCATTTTCTTTTGGAATGTCACTCCTTATCATAAGGCCTTCAAATTCCCTTATATACTCCTCTACTTTCTTATCTCCTTGCTTAAGATTGAACAAACTCAAGTAGAGTTCTTGCTTGTAGTTTTCGGGCAAGAACCTCCTTTTCATCATCCTCCTCAATTTATCCCAAGACCTCACTCTAGCTTTTCCCTCTTTTCCTCTCTTTTCCTAGTATTCTCCCACCATAAGGAAGCATATCCCTTGAACTTTATGATGGCTGCCTTGCACTTCTTCTCATCCAAGTAGCCTTTGAACTCAAATAACCTTTCAATCTCATTCAACTAATCATTGAAATCATTAGGGTCTAGGCTCCCTCCAAATTTAGGTATATCAATCTTAAGTCCCCTATCATCATCAAAATTTCTCCTCCTTCTTCTCACAACAACACCAGAATCAATAGAGTCACTTGGAAGACTAGTTTCATTTTCATGGGGAGGAGGTTGGTACACTTGACGCCTAATGTGGGGTGTAAGTCTTCTTGGTGGTGTTTCTTGTACAAGGACGTACAGGTGGCTTGGTTTCATGGGGTAGTGGTTGGGTTTGAGAGGTGTTTGTAGGGGGTGTGCGTGGGGCTATGTGAGCCATGATGATTTGGGCCATTTAGTTCACCCTTTCTTCATATCTTCTAAGGTCTTCTTGGGTTTTGTTGAAGCAACCTCCCAAGGGGGCATTGGGGAAGACGATCCACTCTTGTTTGACATGTAGAATGGAAAATTAAGTTGCTATGAACAATAACTCTAGGACTGAACAATAACTTTTTAGGTATGGAATAGTGATATTTGAGGTGGTAAGGGTAAGAGGGGAAAGCTTGGGTAATTTTGGTTTAAGTAAATAGTAATCGGTGAATAGAGTTTGAGATTAGGGGGAGATTAAGCTAATTAATGTGGATTAGGCAAATGGGAGGTGTTTGGTGTTTGGTTAAGGTTTAATGATAGTTTAGTTGAAATGGAATTGGTTTAGTTGGATTTGGATAGAATTGGTTAGGTTTGGATGATATGTGAAGTGTTTAGTTAGGAGTTGGTGAATTGTTTGAGGAAAGAGAAAAATTTAATGCAAGGAAATGAAAATTTTGGCCATAGCCGATTCTACCATGCCTTCAACACATCAAGCATCCTTTTGATCTTAACAATCAGTATTCAACACAAATTCCATTCCACAACCTTAGCTCTAATACCAAATTGATATGAAATCAAGTCTTTAACTCCTATTTCATCTCACTGCAACCACACACATAATAATCTATCTCTTAAACACACATGCTTCAACACACACTCATTCAGCCAAGACAAAGTCAAGCACTCCTAATTTCTTTTAACACCTCAAATCATCAATCTTAACATACGAATAATCCCCAAAGATCAACCATCCAAGACAACTCACAAATTGGTGCAAGGATTACACACACACAAGCCAAACCGAGAATGGGAAAATGGGAACCAAAATGCAAGAACTTACTAGGATAAACGACCAAGGAGCATTCAAGCTTAAAGGAAACTCCATCAGCTTGAATTTCATCCACCACCAAGCTTAGGCTGAAACTTGGATAAAGGAAATGCAAGAAGATTCAATCTCCATTGAAATATTCATCATATTCATTCACTAGCCATCACAAAAATGAGAGAGTTGCCTTTACATAGGCATTACAAGTATGGGGAATTCCCCTTTACAAATATTACAAAATAATACAAATTATTATACAAAAAATTAAGGGCTTAATTTTCCACCATTCATTCAAATACAATAGGCCATAACCATTTAATGCTAAAGGACAACTACTCCTTTAAATTAAGGATCTATGTCCCTAACTTTAATTAATTTGACTAACCTTCGTCTATTTGAATCAAATAACATCGATTCATTGGGCTTGTGCCAAATAAACCTCTCCACACTTGATGCCCATAGTTTGGACCAATAAAAAGACCTTGAGAAATGTCTTGGACCTTTAGCACTCCATGGACAAGCTTGTGAACTTTCTTGAGTGATTGGGCCAAATGGTGCACACCTTGCAAAACTTGGACTTCTTGATTTTTCAATAGAAACTCTTGCACAACCAATGAATCATCTTGGCCTAGAATCTCATCACATTCTTGGTCTGAGTGATCATGTGAATTTGGTCTCGCCAAATGGGCAATTTGGACTAGGGTTTAAGAGGTATAAAGCCAAGGATGGATCGATTATTGGCTTTGGGCACTCGGGCTTACGTGGATCAGTAGGTTTGTGTGACATAAAAAATAGGTTTGCTTTAGTGGTGGCCTCGAACAAACAACTACAAGAATCAATGAGTTTGTTTATCTAGAGCTAAATATCCCATTGTGGGCGGAGTTTGCCCCCTTGGGGATTTTGAGAGGCCTCCCCTTTGCTGAAATTGACAAGCAAATTAATTTGAAGGTCCACATTTTAATCCTTTTTAGAAGTTAGAAAACAAAATTGAAGAGATGTGATGAAATCTTGGTGTTAGAGGAGTCGGAGATTCACAAATGATATGTATACTTCAATTGTAATATTTGTATATTTAAAAAATTATAGAAATATAATTTTACTCTTTCGGGTTGTCCCAATATATTAATATTCAAAAATATTATACATACAACCTATTTTGTATAAACTGATGCAACAACTGTACAAGTTTAACAAGTAATATGGTATAACTTGTTTAATTTGAAGTCATTCAATCATCCTAAAACATATCAATTTGTATGGAAGAGTTTATATAAATAATTTATACTTAACACAACATATTGATATTATCACTAAATGATTAGTTCTTAATCTCTCCCACTAAAACTTGAAAAAAAAAAAAAAAAAAAAAAAAAAAAAAAACCGGTATGAAAGATGGCGAAACCGTTCATAGTGCCTTTTCATATTCAATATAATTACTTTATGAAATGTTTAATAATTCATCTTCTGTGAAACCAATGTTTGAATTGGATATAATTTATTTATACAAAGGGGATATGAGATGCTCTTTTTTAGCGAAGCAGAGGCTTTTCAAAGTCCTTAATAGATGAAAACTCAACCGGCAAAGGGATATTTAGCTCTGAACAAACAAAACCAATGATTTTTGCAGTTGTAGCACCATATGACATTTTGTTCAATGACACTGCTATAGCAAACCTGTTTTTTATGTCGCAGAAACCTGTTGATCCACCTATGCCCGAGTGCCCATAACCAAAAGCGATCCATCCTCAGCTTTGTACCTCATAAATCCCAGTCCAAACGCTCCATTTGGCAAAGCCATATGCTCATAATCACCCACACCCAAGAATGCATCATGGATTCTAGGGTTACTAAAAATCTTGCCACCATTATTTATGGGCCTAGTGTTAGCATCACCACTAGCATCTTTACCCTTATTATTTGTATTGCTCTTTGAAGCACCAGGTACCTCCTTGCTTTTCTCACCTTTTGGCTTTTTTGATTGCTCGTGTGATGAAAATGTAGGGATGTGAGTGTGACTACCAAGTGGTGGTTTAGATAAAGAGGAATGTGGGGGTGGGATAACTCCCCCATCAGCTAGGGCTGCATAGTAGCGCGCAATTGCACGGGCCGAGCAATGTCCGTTAGTAGCAGGTAAGATGGCACGACGAATGTTCAGCATGTTAAAGAAAACCGGCAAAGTGGTGATGAGCTCTGCAATTTGGTCTAGGCGGTAAGTAGAGGGTAAGTCAGGATGGTAACCTCTGTCTGCGTACTTGCTGAGATCATATTCATCTATTGTAAGAGTTGCAAGTTGAGATTCCACACCTGGAGGGTAGCCATTGAAAGGCATGATGATGCCATTGATGACAAAAATTGAAGCATTCAACGAGCATCTGTGCACTGGATAATTTACTTCTTTTGACAATAGTAATGGACTAATGGTATGGTGCATGAGAAGGTCAATTGAAGAGAAGTCATTATTGTCATTAGTATTTTTCTTTTTAATAATGCTAGGTCCACAACCCAATTTTACAATCTTCTTTTACAACTCTTGATGTGACAGCTCGTAAATGGGTCTCATCTACTCATTTGCGAGTTGACCATTTACGAGCTGTTATGTCGAGGGCTGTGAGAGAAGGTTGTAAGATTAAGTTGTGGGTCTAACATTATTGTTTTTTTTTCTTTTTTCCATAACCATTAAACTTCTAACCTTTACTCATGCTATTTGCTAGCTATCATATTCTTCCCAATTCACAAAACACAATTTGAGGTATTTATGTTGGAATGAAAAAAAAAAAAAGAATTAAAATATATAAAAATCAAGTCTTTTTACTTAAAAAACAAGCAATTGGAGTCTTCAAGGAATATTTATTGGAAACATAACCCTAGAGAATTCATAATAAGATTTTTGAGGGATTGATAATAAAACATTCCATGTATTGTCTAATTTTGGTCTCTGTTGTATACTATATTACGATTAGTATTTTCCCCATTTGGTGGTTGGACAATTTCAATTATCAAATATATATATATTTTTTTGTTTATTTTATCTTATTAAAGTTATAGGTTAAATTTAAAAAAATTGCGAAATGATTATAAATTTACGATTTTATATTGTTTATATTAATATATTCCGTTAAAAAAACTTCTTTACCCATTAAAACAACCACCTTTTAGTTCTTAAAAACATCTAAATTTTATCAAAATAAGGTTTAAATAATAATATAAAAAATTATGATTATATGCATATAACTGTTATTACAGATAATTTTAAAAATATTAGTAACGATAAATTTGCAGTAACTAAAAAATAAGGTTAGTTTTAACTTATAGGATGCGTTTGAATCATATAATGTTTTATTATAGAGGTATATTATATTAACGAAAAGAAAGATCACTTTGAAGATTATTGGGAATGTTTAGAAAATGTGTTTAGTTGGTTTGAATAAATTGGTGAATAATATGTTTGGTTGGGAGGATAAATGAGTGGGTATGTTATATAGATTACTAAATTGCCCTCCTTCTTAAATTTTAATATAATAATATTTTTTATTATTATTTTTTGAATCATAACTTTTTAAGCCCATGCATTTGAAATTTTGCTAAAACACCCTAGCCATATAAAACTTTAATTTGTAGCAAAATCACCCCTATCCACCCCAAGCCACTGCCAACAGCTAGCCACCACCTCTAACAGTCAACAAAATGGCATACGATTGACCATATACGGCCGGCCGTGCGCCAACAAAGCCCAAAATGTCCATGGATCACAAATCCATGCCAGAAAATAGCTAGATCTATGGCCATTTCACGACCAAAGATATGGCCTTGAAACAGCCACTGATCTAGCCGTGCCATTTCACGGCCAAACATCTGGCCTTTTCATAGCCAGATTTGTTTGGCCGTGAAACAGCCATATAAATATCAGATCTGATCGTTTTCGACCATGGATCCGAGAAAAGGCCTTACCGGTGCACGATCGGCTAGATCCCGCCAATCATGCACCATTATGGTGACTAACGTTGACGGCGGGTGGTGGTGAGTCACGGCCGGCAGTGGTCTTGGGTGGTTGGGGGTATTTTGTTAACTTTTAAACTTTTTTGTGGTTGGGGTGTTTTAGCTAATTTCTCAAATGTAGGAGGGTTGGGTAATTGTTATTTGGTAGACATTTGAGGGCAATTGTGTCCGAAATATTTTTTAATTAAGGACAAATTGGGAAGAAAAATCATATTACCCTAATAATGTTTTGATAATACCCCCTAACAAGGTAATAAGATTACCCCTCATATTACCAGCAGTAAACACTATTTGCAATAAAAGATTACCGTAATATTTTAATACTTGCAAACCAAACACAAGAATTTTGCAAAATAAACGAATATTATCCTCGTTATCTTATTTACCCCCGATCCAAACAGCCACATAAGGGGGTTTAGTTAAGGGAATATTGTATCACTGGGGAGGTTTGGATAGGGCTATGGAAAGATACTCCGATAATCTTAATTTCGGACATTCCCTTGTTTGGTTGTCAAGTAATAAAAGATTTTGGTAATCTTTTAATACCAATAGTGACTACCATGGGTTAAATAGGGGTAATCAGATTACCTCTTTAAGGGGTGGTATTTAAAGATTACCAGGGTAATCTTAATTTTATACCCATTCTGCCCTTAATTAAATACCATTTCGGATACAATTGCACTCAAATGTCTACCAAATAACAATCAGCCCAGACCCCCTACATTTTAGAATTTACCTAAAACACCTTAGGCATAAAAAGTTTAAAAGTTAACAAAATAGCCCCAGCCACCAAAGACCATCGCCGGCCGCTAGTCGCCATCGCCGGCCATCGGTAATAGCCACCAGATTAACACACAACCAATGGGATCTGGCCAGTTGTGTGCCGATCTGGCTGTTTTTAGCCAAATCAAAGGCCCAAAACAGCTAGATTGCCATGAATCTGGCGAGAAATGACCATAATAGATCGACCATTTGTGGCCATTTCCAACCAAATCCACGATGATCTGGCTATTTTCGGCCTTTGATCTCACCNTCCCACATTCTCTGAAGAGTATTATCAGCTATGGCACTGGAAATTGTATCTACGCCCACCTTGCATGGTGCATGTTAGGATTATGGTAAATTAAATTGCAAAATTTAAAATTCTTATAATGATAAGATTACATTTGGAAATGTAATGATTTTATAGCTAACATCATGGCTATACGAAATCAAATTACAATTAAATTATGGATATAATAAAAAATTGGGGTGTGCAAAAGAATCGACCGGAATTGGAACAGGCGAGTACTCGGGGTTCCGGTTTCAGTTCCTACCTACAATCGGCCCTCTCAGGATCGGTGAATCGAAACCAGTACTGTGTGGTTTTGGTTTCGGTTCCACCAGTGCAGGAATTGGAAACGAAATCAGAATTGAGACCCAGGTAGGAATCAGGACCGACTTGTAATTTTTGTAAACTTTTGGGGTGTATTTGTAATTTTTGGGAATATTAGGGGGTAATATAATTTTTTCGGTACCCAGGAACTTGAGTTTCAGGTTCCAGTTCCAAGCTTATAGGAACTGGAACTGATCGATTCCGGTTTCGATTCTAAATTTTAGGAACTAGCTGGTTCTGGTTCTGGTTCCATGGGATTTTGGTAGGTACCTGGACCCACCCACCCCTAATAAAAAACATTTAGGGGGCATTCGATTCAGGGAATGTTGTATTACTAGGAATGTTATAGTAATGAAAAGATAGATTACTTTGAAGATTACTGGGAATATTATATAAAATGTGTTTGGTTAAATTGGAATAAATTGGTGGGTATGTTACATAGATTATTGAATTGCCTTTTTTTTTTTTTAATATTATTATTTAAATCATTTTTTTAACCCCTTACATTTGAGAATTTAGATAAACACTCCAACAATAAAAATTTAAAAATTAACAAAACCACCCCAACCACTAAGAGCATAACCGACCATCGGCCACCATTGTTGGTCGACAGTCGATAGTTGCCAAAACGGTACACGACTAGTCGGATATGGCCGGTTGTGCTTTGATTTAGCGACTTCCGGCCAGATCTGCGACAGGATGGATCTGGCCAGAAATGACCAAATTAAATCTAGCTGTTTTCGGATAAATCCACGACAATCTGGTCGTTTCTAGCCATTGACTAGTCGGAGATGGCCGACTGAGATGGCCAGATCGCTACACAGTTAGCCATATCCGACCGGTTATGCCATTTTGGTGATGTCCCTTGGTGGCCGATGGTGGCCAAGTTTGACATTCTTATAAATTGTCTTCAATAAAAGGTCATTCTTGTCCAAAAGTTTCGTGTATAAGGTTAAAATAGTGTATAAATATTCTTGTAAATTGTTTTCAAAACAAGGACATTTTTATTCAAAAATTTTAATAGTTAGAGATAAAATTATAACAAAAATAAGATTATAAATAATAAAATAATACCTAAGAAAATTGTGGTATTCAGATTACTAACTATATAATTAATAAGGACTATTATTTGTTTTGAAAAATTATCAAAATTTTATATTAGTTGTTAATAAGGTTATACAGTTTTACTGAAGTAATCCCCGCGTAGCTCCCAGTCAAACCGCACCCCAATTAGTATTACTCTATGGTTTGGTTGATGACATTCATCTTTATAATCTTACACTACTATCACTTCATGTGAGCGAAACTCCTCTTTACTCTCTCTTTCTCGCATGTCTAAGATTCTTTTGTCTCGCATTAAACCTGTTCACAGTCGGAAACCCACTTCTCTTTCACACTTTCGCCTTACTCCCCGCCTCAAGGAACTCGTCAATGAAACCATTGAAATCCTCAAAACCCACCCACAGTATGACCAGTTGCTTGAAAATCGTTTCGCCGATGAAGAAACCCAAGTTTCAGAGGTTGCCCATTTCGTTTTTGACAAAATTCATGATGTGGAACTGGGTGTCAAGTTTTTTGATTGGCTTTCTAAACAACCCAAGAGCTCTTCTTCTCTAAATGAGTTTGCTTGTTCTTCGTTTTTGAAGCTTTTAGCCAGGTTTAGAGTGTTTTCAGAGATTGAGTTGGTGTTGAATAGTATGAGGTTAGAAGGTATAAAGCCAACCCATGAAGCGTTGAGTTTTGTTGTACGGGCTTATGCGTGTTCTGGGTTAGTTGATAAAGCCTCTGAGTTGTATGATTACGTCATTGAATTACATAATTGTGGTCCTGATGTTTTTACTTGTAATTCATTGCTTGATTTGTTAGTGAAGTGTAAAAAATTTAAACTTGCTCGTAAATTGTATGATGAAATGTGTAAAAGAGAGGATGGTTTGGATAATTATACTACTTGTATCATGGTGAGGGGTTTGTGTAAAGAAAGGAAGGTTGAAGAGGGTAAAATGTTGATTGAGGAGAGGTTTGGAAAGGGATGTATACCTAATATTGTGTTTTATAATACACTCATTGATGGGTATTGCAAGAGAGGTGATGTTGAAATTGCTAGTTTGCTTTTAAGGGAGTTGAAGTTGAAGGGGTTCTTGCCTACACTGGAGACTTATGGAGCAGTGTTATACGGGTTTTGCAAGGATGGGAATTTCAAGGCAATTGATAAACTTTTGATGGAAATGAAAGAGAGGGGTTTGACTGCTAACGTTCGAGTTTATAATAATATAGTTGATGCTAGAATTAAGCATGGTTTTAAGGTTAAAGTAGTAGAGACTGTTCAGTGGATGATGGACAATGGTTGTGAGCCTGATATGGTTTCCATTAATACTTTGATTTGTGGCTTGTGTAGGGATGGGAGAGTTGAGGAGGCTAGTCAACTAATAAAACAGGCAATGGAAAGAGGATTAGAGCCAAACAAGTTCAGTTATACTCCTATTATACATGTCTGCTGTAAACAAGGGGAATATATCAGGGCCTTAAATTTGCTTATTGAGATGACAGAAAGAGGACATAAACCTGATTTGGTCACTTACGGAGCTCTTATTCATGGACTTGTTACTGCAGGGGAGGCGGATGTTGCTATGACTGTTAGAGATAAAATGATGCAGAGGGGAGTGTTGCCTGATGCTGGTATTTACAATGTTTTGATGAGTGGACTTTGCAAGAAAGGGAGGCTTCCTGCTGCGAAGATCCTGCTTGGTGAGATGCTTGACCACAACATACTACCTGATGCTTTTGTTTATGCAACTCTAATAGATGGCTTCATCAGGAATGGTGATCTTGATGAGGCGAAGAAACTTTTTGAGCTGACAATTGCTAAGGGAATGGATCCTGGTGTTGTGGGATATAATGCCATGATAAAGGGTTACTGTAAATTTGGATTGATGAATGATGCACTGTCGTGTCTGAATAAAATGACTCAGAAGCATCATGCCCCAGATGAGTTCACTTTTTCGACAATTATTGATGGCTATGTAAAACAGCATGACTTATCAAGCGCTCTGAGGATGTTTGGAAAGATGGTGAAACAGAAATGCAAACCAAATGTTGTCACATACACTGCTTTAATTAATGGGTTTTGCCGCATTGGAGATTCTGATAGGGCTGAGCGAACTTTCAAAGCGATGCAGTCTTGTGGTTTGGTGCCCAATGTAGTCACATACACTATAATTATTGGGAGCTTTTGTAAGCAGGGAAGAGTTGCAAAAGCTACTTCCTTTTTTGAACTAATGCTGATGAACAAATGCATTCCCAATGATGTTACCTTCAATTATTTGGTAAATGGCTTCACAAATAATGCACCCAATGTTGTTTCCACCAATGAGTCTGAGGATGACAATAAGCCTATATTTCTGGAATTCTTTGGAAGGATGATATCAGATGGCTGGGGTCATAAGGCTGCCGCCTATAATGCCATCCTCATCTGCCTTTGCTGCCATGGAATGGTTAAAACTGCTTTGCAATTGCATGATAAAATGGTTATTAAGGGCTTTCTTCAGGATCCCGTATCTTTTGCTGCCCTGCTTTTTGGTGTTTGTTTGGAAGGAAGGTCAAAGGAATGGAAAAACATTATACCCTGTAATTTGAATGAACAGGAACTCCAAATTGCTGTCAAGTATTTACAGAGTTTAAAGCAGTATCTGCTCCGAGGAATGACTTCCGAAGTTGCACTTTGTTTCCATAATTTAGTGGAAGACCTCAAGTCTCGGGACCAGAAACTTGACAATTACAAGGTCTCTGTAAGATAGGATAGGGGGCAAATGTAAAAAACTGATCTGGGTTCTGAGAAAACAAAAGAATATCTGATGTTGGGCGTGCAAGTCAGCCTCCCTTGAAAAGCTTAATGTCTCTTTCATTACTCCTCAGCATGGTTACTTTCTTGATTAGGGTCTGCGGATGAATGCTTTGAACACTTTGTTGTCTTCTGACCTAACAAATGGCCCTGAAGAATGAGGAACTATTACATATCTGTAGTTTTTTGCATAAATCATGGTAGGTAATTTTCATTTGTTTAACACTATACATTCAAAGAATCTGCAATATCACCCTTGTGTTAACGGGCTAGTCTTGATATATGATGCTAGACCGGCAGTTCAATGCGACATGTATATTAGCTGTAATTTTGTTGCATCACAGAGATCGTGTAGACTACTTGCAGTATACTGAACAGGACATGGGTCTTCTTATGGAGGTATGTACCAGGATTTCATTCTTACGTTCTTGTATTTCTGTGATTGTGAAAATGTTTATGATGTGATCTGTTGCACTTTAGGAAAGAAGTGGCTCCTTATTAGGGTTCAGGTGCTTCACTTCATCTGTTGTAATACTGTCTGAATCAAATGATGGTTACAAGTATGTTTATTTGCTTACCTGCCATCTAAGTGGAATATATACAAGAATAATTTATTGGATTGGCAAGTTGCTGAAAATAGATTAATACTGTCGGCAAATAATATATGTGGTTCCTTTCATATAAGATTAAGCGTTTGCAAATCAGGGTTTTTCAACATGAATGAAACTATTTGGAGTTCATGATAAAGTTCTTCTCTGTAATCCGGAGCAGGTATCAAATTTTAACTTGGCTATGCAATGGTAGATTAAGCAGCTTTGGTAAATTAGGTAAAACATGGGCCTAGAATTTTCATTCTTTCAATTGCATTGTACAATTATAAATGAACGATTTGATGACTAGTGTGCAACTATGGCTGTTCTTTCTGACAGGTGTCCTTCAAGTACATCATATGTCTTTGAGGTTGCATAGCTTGAAAACTAACAACAATTACCCTATTACATGACAAAAGGAGAGTTGAATGTGATCTCATAGTTGACGTTGAACCTTAATACTCATCAATGACAACACTTGATTAAGTTACAGTACTATAACCTGTAGTTAATTGTTAAACTTATACAAATATGGAAACTAACCTCTTTATCACCCAATTCTATATATTATTTGATACTATCTACATGCAGAAGTTGGCATGGCATATCTGAAGTTGCCTGTAGTACCTGCTCAAATCCTGCAACAATTCATTAAAGGTCAAAGATGGAACAGCAGTATCGTCATTGTTAAACCCAAAGTAGATCTTGCTACGATAAAACGAAGATGAAAAGAGGACATACTGTGTATATTCGACATTGATTTTTCTTCCATTATGGTTGGAAATGGCTGCAAAGGCATCGGTAGACAGTTGGATCGTAGATGGGCAGGGTGCCTTTGTGCAGAAATCCACCACCTTGACTTCAATGGTTTGCTGCTTGCATGGTCTATTGGCTCCACTTAGACATCTCAATCTATACCGCCTTCCACAAGCAGCTCCGTTATCCCACAACCCTTCACTCACCGCAACAAATAGCTTGCTTGGCGGGAACTGATCTTGTCTATTTCCATAACATCTGGTAGCTGCAGAAGATGGAAAATCACTATACATAAAAATAGAGAAAACTTATAAACTATGTTTTGTCATTTCAAACTGTTTGTAAACTTGATTTCTTTTCCAAGTTTATGAATGAAAAAGTGCAGTTTACTCACGTATATATGGCGGGTGATAAGATGTTGCGGTGCCAATATCCCCATAGACTACGGATGCTGTGCTGCTTGTTAAAGCTACCAGAATAGTCAAGACCAAGCGCCCCATCACAAGAGATGTCAGATGTAGATCCTGTTGAGGCCTGGCTTGCGTCAAATTTATAAATGAACAAACCGACTTACATTTTCTATCCTACAGGTAATTAGGTGCATCTTACGAAAGTAGGAATCGTGAGGCATCGACTAATGCAATTTCAGTTTTGGTTGTTTTGCCTTTAACATTTCATTTTCAGGTTACGTGCACTCTTTTACAAAAGTTCTTGTGTAATTGTTTCATATTGTTCCATTCCCTTGTGGGATTTTCCAAAGGGTAAATTGTATTGGAGGAGAGTGGCCATAATTTTTTTTCATGTCATGTATACTGAGTAAGCAATATGTATGTATGATCTATCGAAGATTTTTGACCAAGCAATATGTAATTTTAAATCATGTCATGCATACTGACTCAAAAAGTCAGACCTTTATGGAGTAATGGTTTCCAGTTCAATCATAGGAACAAAAGGGGATACTTTTTTCTTTCCCATTCAAATCATCACAAACGAAGTGGTTGTCCTGTTTTTCTTTTTGTTTTTAAGCTTTAAAAGGTTGTGTGTTGCATGTGATGGTTGCTACTTTAAGCATAGTGCTGATTTCATGTGAACATTTGGATTTGAGAATCCTAGTTAGTTCATTTTTAACAGAAACCGTGTCTTTGTCCGTGAGTTGCGCATTAGAAATGTAAAGCTGCGGTGCCCAAACTTTTCTTGAGTCAAGATTGTATTTCAATTTGAGCAATATTAGACTCACAATTCAATTTTACAACATTTTCTTATAACCTCAACGTGACAGTCAGCTCTCACTACACCTAAAGCATTAAATGACTTTGACAAGATACGAACGATCATTTCTTAAGGACGAACGATCGTTCCTTCATAAGTAATGAAACATAAGGAACAATTATTCTTTCATAAGGAATGATTGTTCCATTCATAAAGAATAATCATTCCTTATGAATGAAAGGTCGTTCGTCCCCAAGAAATGACAGTTCGTCTCTAAGGAACGAGCATTCATGTTTAATCAAAGTCGTTAATTGATGTTGTAGTGCTAACTTTGTTATCACGCTAAGATTGTGAGATTGTATTGTAAACGTAATATTTTTGTTTCAATTTTAGTTGAATAAGATGAATCTCCTATTCATTGTTTCTTGTGTTAAACCATTTTTAATGTTCAAATATTTGCCAAGAAATGTAGGTCCAAGCCCAACCAGAAGCCGAGGAGGCAAGTATGCATTGGATTTGGAGAGCAGAATCGCAATATAATCATTGTTTTAAAGACCAGACCGGCGGGCAACCCATTCTGATGGCCGAGTCACAGTTCAACCGGTCCAACCAGTTGGACCGATGATGTCATCACACATCATGACGATGTCAACACATTTTTAAAAAAACTTTTTTTCTTTTTTAGATTTTTATTTTTTAATAAGACAATAACAACTTAATTAGTGTCCAATCCAATATGATTCAAAGTTCAAATTCAACAACAATCCTAACATAATTTAAGTATTTAACAACAATTCAAAGTCCAAATCCAAACATGATGTTGTATTTACATATTAAATGTCAAAATACATACTAATTAATAACAAAACATTTGATGCAAATGTTTATTCTTTGATCCGTCTCCATGTTGATTGAGCTTCACACACTAGCATCAAAATTCATCACCATCATCATCATCATCATCATCATAACCATCACCACCATCTACGCAAATTTAAGTGAAAAATAGAAATCATAAGTTGATCCAATTGCAAGTTCACCGCTGTGTAATCTCAAGATAAATGCAACCAACAATTTTTAATCTTTTTCAAGATCATCTGTGAGTAAACTTTTTGGTATAATCAAAAGAATCAAATTCAAAATACATTGTTAATTGTTTTTATATGGCATATAAATGTAACATAAAACAAAACTTGTCGTCACTCACAACCAAAGCCACGAAAGAATATGATTACTGCAGAGCTTATGCTAACAGGAGCAAGCCTCAGAATGCAAAAAAACTATCATAACAACTATCAGCTAAGGGAAGCTTTTTATGACCTGAAAATCTATACTAGCTAATCCAATTACTTAATCATCTACAGTCTCTCAGCAAAAGCAATTTTCATCTTTGTTTAAACTCTTGGTCATGTATCAGCATTTTCAAAAAAATATTGCAAACTCTACATCCAATCAGTGGTAGAGCATTGAACTTTCTGTAGTGGAATCAATCAAGAACTGATTTTTAACATCAATATCTGGTTCTACAGAAATTAAAGATCCCAACACCTATAATATCTGGTTCTAATTATTTGTGGGGAACATATCACATATATAGTCCTTGTCTCCTTGAAACAATGGAGTTGAGACTTTAATTAACGTTGTCATTAATTCCATCCAGTTTGCTGTCACTTTCAAATAGTGATCGCTTCATGCTAAGAAAGAGTAAGAGAGAGCTTAAATGCAGGCAGATATGGAGTTTGTGTGAAGAAACTGGGAGTTTATTTTAAAATTCAAATAGATCATATGATAAGATAGGAATCAAATTTAGAAACGTAACACATGAGCTAAGAATCATGGAGAGTGACATTATTGATTAGGCTCTGTTTGGTGCAATACTGCAATGCACTAATTAAATTCCCTGCAATTTTTTTGTGCAAATATACTTGAATCAAAGCAGAACCATCCTTAAGATCATGTTAATACAACCACAATAGCTCTATAGATTGAAAAATGAAAAGGGTGTTAACTGAAATGTAAAGGGAGTGAGGAATGGCGTTACCTGGATCAACGAATGGAGCTGTCGCCGTCGATTTCCAGCGAGGGAGGAAGACGTCATCGATTTCTGGCAAGGGAGGAAGACGTCGTCGTCGATTTCCGGCGAGTTCAGATGCGATTTGGGTGGGATTTCAAAGAGAACAGAAGACAACCGAAACCGTGAGAATTTTCGTGAGAAAGACTGAAAGAGAAGAAGATGAGAAAGGGCTGCGACGTTGTGTGACAGAGAAGAAGAGAAGAATGGGCTACGTGACAGAGAAGAATGGGTTGCGTGAAAGAGAAGACGATTCTCGCATATTAGGGATTTAAATTGTGGACCGCTAAATCGGACCGGCGGTTCACTCATATTATCCGGTTTTCAACCGGTTTAAAACAGCTCAATGCATATTAGCGGGTTTGAGGGTAACTCGAACCGGACATGTGACCGGTTCACGGTCCAACTGGCCGGTCCGCTCCGGTTTTTAAAACAGTGAATATAAAAACAGTATCAGAAATTATAAGATTGTATTGTGCAACATCTATTATAATTATTTATGCTAAATTGAGCACAAATTGTAACTGGTATCACAATGTAGAAATAATAAATGGAATGTTGATAATCAAATTTGATTTCTAGTACAAATGGCCAAATGGGTTCTAAAACCCTCCCTCAAGTTGTTACAAATGCTGGCAAGGGACAAAAATAAGCGCCTTCATCAAAATTAAAAATAAGAGGTAAAAAATACAATGGAAAGTCAAGAAACCCTAAGCCGAAACATGAGATCATAACTTAAATTCACAAAAGCAGTCGGGCAAGGCAGACCCTCGTCCCATGACAAAATCGTCCCGGTGTGCCTTCCATAAAGCTTGTTTCAATTCCTTCCCCTTCAGACCCTGCGCAGTTAACTCTGCAAAACCTCTTCTGCCTAAGAAAAGTGTTTTATGCAACCCTTTGAAAGCTCGCATTGCTGCAACCATCTTATCCATGTTTCCGAAATATGTAGCCATGTATGAGTCACTGTTAATAGATACATGATAATCCAAAGCGGCTTTTGTGTTCCCATGCATGGCTGTGAAGTCTTCACCAGTAAGAAGGGCAGACTTGGTAACAACATTGGTATAAACAGAAGTTAATCCTTCAATCTCCATCAGGCCATCCCCCGCTGCCAGATAGATGTTTGTGTTTGTTGGGAATGAAAGTGCCTGGAGTATGAATGCCGTTTCATTTGGTGTCAGAGGACATTTGCCTCGTTTTCTCCAGATGACAGCTAACTCCCCAGTCCATGGTTTTCTATCTCCCCGTGCAGCCTCGATGGCTTGCATGGAGGCAGGAGAAAGGCCCACATATTCACATTGGCTGTAAGCAACCATGTCCGGTTCAAATCGAAGGTGAAGTGAGAGAAAGGGTTTGGGTATGGCCTCAAGAAGCTCAGAGGCTTTCTTTTCCAAGGATTCAGTAAGACGTAATGCATTGTAACATGCTTGACAAAGGGAAGCTTTTGCATACTGAGGATACCTATCAGATGTAGAACACAGCCAAGGTTCATGCAAAAATAGAATGGCTCTTATCCATAGCAATAACCTTTGCTAAACCGAAGCAAGAAAACTCAAAATACAATGAAATACCTGTCCCTCCTCTGGCTCATTGCTGGTGTGAGTGAAATATAATGATGTTCCAACAGGAATGGAAGAACACTTTCAACATAATCATATTGACCTTTCCGCTTGCTACAATCCACATGGAATGGCTCTTTTGATGAAAGCTCTGGCGGCAGTTCTTTGACAACTTTAATAAAGCCATTCATTTGTTGAATGAAGTAGTTGACATCAAATACATCTGCAAAACCACTGAGGTAAAATTACAGTGTTATAAAAGGACATTTTCTTCATAGAAAGACAAAAACCAATTCTTATATGGCCTAGGTAGAACACTATACTCATCCTGGAATAATTTAAAACAAAGTATAAAAATGGTTTTTCTATTCAAGTTTGTAAACAAAATCTAAAGTTAAAAAGAGATCTCCCTCTTTTTTATTGTCTTTTTTCCCATTAAAATAAATTTATTCATTTGGGTTGAACCTCTGTTGCGAAGAAGATTTTAAACTGCACCACTGGATTTCAGCAGATCACCCTTGTCAAGATACTTTAAAAATATCTTTAACAAAAAGTATGTACTTTATCATCATAAAGGTGTCCTCAATATTTTCATCAAAGACAGAAGATTATGTCTAAATACAACTAAAAGCATGACTAATCTAGATGCCTTGGCTACCTAGGGCTAAGCCATCTTCAGAAATTCATGACTTAATTTACTATTTTATAGGGGAAATTCCTTGATGCAAGTGTAAAATTTAGAAAATACTACAGTATTATAAAATTTTAATATATCTACTTAACTTAGTTATATTTCTATCACACAGTCAATAAGAAAAAGATAATACATCTCTATAAAAAACTTTTTAGTAACATCTCTTCAATCTATAATAAGATAAACCACTGAATGCGCTCATGGCTTCTAAATTAGGCACTTATTCACGCAAGTTAAGACTTCACTGACTTCCAAGCAATACCATGATGGCAAAAAAACATAACCAAAATTACCTTGATTCATTCCAATATGCTGCCACTTCAAACTTGGGTAGAACCAGAGTTGCATTTAACAAACGGGCAACACCAACACCGTCACACAACTGCATAAACCATTAACAGTGTCCCATCTTTCACAAAGCAGAAATTACAAAAGAAAAATACACCACAAATCTGAAAACTTCAGTTTAAAAACACCTAGTATTCACTCACATCTCTTCTCATTTGATTGAGGCCACCATAGCAATCCACACGAATATATCCATTAGTCTCCGCTGGCAAAGCTGCAGGATTTCAACAAAAAACCAATGCAATTGTCTGCAATGATAGCCAATTAAAATTGACTCAGGATATCAAAAAAATCAATTTGAAGATACAATTCAATCCCAGTCCTACACCTGACCCCCACATATTTTGTAGTACAGTCTCAACTTTCAGCCAGGACTTTAATGCAATATATGAAACAAAACTAATGCCAAAAAAATTTAGAATGGTATAAATAATCACGAAATAACTAACTGTCATCTATATATTCCAGCTGCTTACTCACCCTGAAAAAACATTTATGAACTAACAAACATTACCATCAGAAACTCCTATAAAGACTAAAATCTACAACATTCACAACAAAAACTTCAAATTCCAATATTTTTATTTCATCACACAAAAATCAATGCATTGTTTAAAAATTTGAGGTTTTTTTTTTTTTTTTTAACATTTTTAAAAAACTTAAAAATGAAAAACCAATTAACTAGAGAAGGCAACACTTACGAGTCAAATGTCCTTGAAGCCACCATTTGCAAGGCCTCCACTCCACCAACCTCCTCACGCTCCATATATCAGATTCCCCTCTACAAGTATAAACCACACTCATTAAACCACAAACGAAAAAAGAAAATCATAAATCTCTAGCTTCACATCACTTCTTAGATTCTTAACCATAAGAGTGAGAAATACCCACTAACCGAAGCTCAATATACAGTAGAAAATGCTAAACTTTAACATTAAAACCAAACCCCCACCCACACCCCCCCAAAAAAAAGGAAAAATCTTTATCTTTTGTTTTCACATTCTAATTTTTGCAAGAAACTAAACAGATTAATGAAATTAATATATAAAAGTAAAAAAAAACAATGTTGGAATGAAGACTTACGTGAGTATCGAACTGGGAGAAACTGAGAAAAACAAAGAGTAGGGAGAGAGCAAAACGACGAGAAGACAAAGAGAAAGGGTGAAGAAGATGGTAAAGAACACTGGCTTTACAGAGATCGTAATCATTTGATGCACAGAGATCTGATGGATATGGAATTGCTCAATAAAACATGAAAGCAAAGCAAGAAATTACGCGTAGATGGAGCGAAGGGGTTAGGGTTTCGGAATTTGTTTTTTAATTGAACAGCTCAAATGGCTTTGGAAACACAAACAGATTCAGATCGTGGTGACAATACAATTATGTTTCCCCCAACTGGGTCAAACCGGGTTAACCCGGTAATATTATTTATTATTATTATTGGATATTCACTGAGAAAATGAAATTTAATTGTCTAAATTTTATTTTAGACAATTAAATTTTCATATTTTGAGTGAGTTCATTTATTTCCCAATAGATTTGATCTAATTATAGATGGATTTTAAAAAAATAAAAAAAGGAAGAAAGGGAGGTTCTTTTAGGTAATTTTTTATAAAAAAAAGGAAGAAAGGGAGGTTCTTTTAGGTAATTTTTTATAATAATAAAATTTTTTTTGGGGGGTTTTTTTCTCATAAAATGATTTTTTTATGATAAATAGACAATGATTAAAAAAAAAAAATACAATTTATCATCCAGAACAAAATGAACTTTTTGTATTACCCAAAAAAAAAAAAATGAGTTCATATTTAAGTTGGTAGAACAAAACCACCACTAGATGACCATATGGTAAAAGAGTAAAAGAAGGTTTCACGAACTCCTAAGTTCGAGTCCCACCAAACACTAATGAGGGTGGCCATTAGGGCTCTTAACCGGCCGACAGTTTCGACTCTTAACCGATCAATAGTTCTAAGGTCTTAGGGAGATTAGTTGAAGGTGCACACAAGCTGATCCGAATAACCCAACGATCAAAAAAGGAAAAAGTTAGTAGAACAAAGTGAAACAATCCTAAATGTCAGTCTAGTTAATTTTACTATCTTTAGAAATCAGTGGTCAAACAAGGGGTTGATTAGATTGCATGTAAGATATTTTCTTCCGGTGTTGAAATCTGTATTTCATACAAAAATGTCCATGCCTTTCTGTCAAGAACACCATTGGTGATCAACCTGCAAATTCATTGCTAGCCTATGCAACTGTATTTCAACAAGAAGGTTCAATAGTTTACAAGACGACAACACTCTGCTGCACATTTTGTCTGCAGCCGTCTAGTGAAAGAGAATGCCGATGAATCATGGAGACATCATGCGAAAGCATGGTTATAATCTATCAGCTTCACCAACTCATTCAATAAAACAGTGGCAATAGCTGCCCAGAAAGCTTTTTCTCATTCACTTTCAAGCTCTGTTTCGTCACTTCTTGATTTCGTAAACGAACCCTGCATTGCTTTGCCAGCTCTTGTATTGAACAAGAAATGCTCCCGTCCATATTGTCTCCAAGTATCTCAATAGCATGACTCTGCAGCCGTCAAGTGAAAGAGAACGCCCTTAATTCATGGAGACATCATGGGAAAGCATGTTTATTATCTATCAGCTTCAAAAACTGTTTCAATAAAACAGTGGCAATAGCTGCCCCAGAAAAAAATTTCTCAATCACTTTCAAGCTCTGTTTCTTCGCTTCTTGATTTCGTAAACGAAGTGTTACCTCGCATTGCTTTCGCCAGTTCTTGTATTGAACAAGAAGAGCTCCGCTCCATCTTGTCAGCAAGTATCTCAATAGCATCCAGAAATCCTAACCCCAGTAGGCGGTTCCTCAGCATCTCAACTGTAGAAGAATACGGTGGTAAACCTTCATCAACCATCATCTCAAAGTATTTACATGCCTCCTCTAGTTTACCTTTCTTCTTGCACAAACCATGAACCATTACAGAATATGTCGAAACTGAGGGATAAAATCCTCTTTCCTCCATACTCTCCCAAACTTCGGTTACTCTGTCAAATCTACCTACCCTTATTAACAATTTGAGAACCATGTTATAAGTATGGCGATCGGGCATACAATTATCCTTTGTCATTCTAGAAATCAACCTGAGAGCCATATTGACCTCACTACGTTCACAATGGTAAGCCAGAATCGCATTGTAACTCCACGCATCCGCGCTAACTCCTCTCTCCATCATCTCATCCAAAAGTTGGTAAGCCTCTTCCACTTTGTCTTTCTTGCAAAGTTTCTTGATCACACAATTATAAGTAAACACATTAGGAACAAGATTGTTCCTCCTCATTGTATCGAGCACACGAAACACCGAATGAATATCATTAGCCTCACAGTATGCATGAATAAAAATCGAATGACTAAAAGCATCCGGCTCCTTTCCCCTAGAACGCATTTCTCTAAACATCTTATACGCTTCATCAACATTCCCACCTTTACACATAGCCTGCAACATACTGTTATACGCCAGAACATCAACATCACATTTTCTCTCGAGCATTTCATCGAACAGCTTACGAGCTTCACTAAATTCACCGATGTCACCCCAACCTCTAATCAAAATGCTGTAAGTTTTCACGCCTGGCGAGAATTCATGCTTAACTTTGTCAAAAAACTGAGTGGCATTCTTCACATGTTTTCTTTTACATAGCACGTATAATAGATGATCAAGATCATGAATACTAGGCTCAATACCAAACTCTACCATTCTATTAAAAGCCCTTATTGCATCATTAGGTAAATTTACTTTACTATAAGCTCTAAAAACAAGCCAAAAAATTTGTGGGTTTATTTCACAAGATTGAGATTCCCTAATCTCTATCAAGAAATCCCATAGAATAGCAAACTGTTTACTGCTTCCCAAGATATCAATCAAAATGTGGTAGCTCTCAACACTGTGTTGAAAACCTGAAATTCTTTTGGCCCAAAGAAAGAATCTGTGAGCAGGAAACCCAATATTTTTACACCTCTTCAAGACTTGTTCGACCAAGTTTGTGGATACTCTTGAAGAGAATGTGTCGAGAGAAAGCTCCAAGTCGTGGTGGGGGTTTCTGTGGTCACTTAGAACTCGAGAGATCTCGTTTACGAGGTCTGGTAATGGTGGATTTAAGTGGTGGTGGGGCTGAGAGGAGATTGGACGGAGAATGTGGAGTTTGGGTTTGTGAAAAGAGAGGAAAAAGAGTGAGTACTGTAAAGGTCTTGTTTTGGAGAGTGATCTGATGGCCATTTGGGAGATTTGTGAAGAATGATTGTTGAAAAAACAGTCGCAAATTTAACACAGATTGGGTATTGAATTCTCTGTTATGCGCTTGTCCCGCAAAGTCTTTTTACTAATAAAAGGCAATTTCATGCATTAAGCTATAAGATATCCACAGGAAAGCCATGGGACTTGCCTCTGAATACTTGTGGAGGTTGAGACAATCAATAGTTCAATTTATTAAAGTTTTGTCACTTCATAGTTCTTCATGTTACAAAGTGTAAGTTTGATACTTATCTGATGTGAATAAATCCTCCATCAAACGGCATACTCAGTGAGAAGGCAATACTAAAACTGCCTGGACAGTTGTTCACAGAAAATAGAGTGCCAAAACTGTCGTTTTTCTTCCAGTGTTGTCCATCACAAAATGATGTTTTAGGGGTTGACCTGATACCAATTATTGGAGACTGGCTAATTGAAAGCATTTATTTATTTATTTTTTTTTTTTTTTTTTTTTTTAAGGTAATAGAATGTTTAGAACCTAACTAATCTTCAAAGTTAATTGAACACCTTATAAATCCAAAAAAAATTATCAGGGTTTATTGAATACCCTACAAACCCAAAAGATTAAATAAATCATAATGTAGTAGATAACTCTAAGGTTCGAATCCAAGAAGTTAATGAAGGGAGCAAGACCACCTCTTAAAGTTAGATGGATGGTTTATCCTACTCCTAAACCTAGACACCTATCAAATAAAATTTAAGAATTATTGTCAAAAAAAAAAAAATGATAAACAAAATTAAGGAGAAAAAGAATCTTAATATTACAAAAGATGGATGAAAGTATATTTATTTGATGAGCAAAGACCAAATCCATAATGTAATATGTGGCACAAGAACATAGATAAGTCCAATTTCATACTCATGAACCATAAGCCAAAAGCATAAATAATCCCTACTTCATGTGATCTTAGGGGTTGTTTGTTTTTTTTCACTTAAATTTGTATAGTTTAAGTTACTTCATTGTTTGTTTTTTACAAATGATCAATTATTTTCGGATAAAATCACTTTAAAAAAAAAGTAAATTTTTATAACTTAAATCTAAATATTGATTAAAAAAAAAAATACATTACTCAAATTACTTATTATACCTTTACATGCATAATAATTTTTTTTTTTTAATGACCCGAGGTGTCTGAGCTAGTTTACACTAACCTCAACTAATCTCTCCCCTATTAGCAACTGAGATGCATAATAAATATAGACTTATATAAAATATTAAATGAGGTCAAAAATTTATTTATTTAAGAAAGCATTAAATATCTTGAATACTATGGTGGCTATAATTGGTTGTTGTAAACCGGTTGCCGACGTCAAATTCCTACAAGATTATGATGCAAAATTGGTATCAAAATGATCTTTTTTGCACGATCTATCTATCCATACAACTTTGAAAGACAATAAAGTTTTAGTTTTTTGGGGATATGAAGAAGGAAGTTCATCAATGAAACTTTCTCCATCAGAATTGGGACAAAATACACATTTCTTGTCTTTAAAAGCTTGTATGTATAGATAAATCGTCCAAAGATGATCATTTTGACACCAATTTTATATCATAATCTCGTCGAAAATTTTTCCTATCATAGGCATCCAACCCTGACAAGAGGATCTCGGTGACCTATTAACCATTTTTCAATTTAAAAATTTTATATAATTAATTATACTAACCTACTAATAGTATTAATAATTAATAACTATCACCTTATAGTCGAATGACTAGCCCTTTAGTCACTAAGGTAAGCTATACCTAAGAGTCTTGTGTCCGAGTCACACGAGAGGTATCTACTACATTTGTGTAATTACCTTAATCCATTGGGTTTATAGAGCCCGTTAGCAATTGTGTCCGGATACCTCCATCATTAAAAAAAAAAATATTAATATTAATAATTAACATAATTAATAATTAATGATAACTTAAGGGTACAATTATAGTGTAATTAATGTAAGATGTATTAGTAATATGTAAATTTAGAATTTAAATTTAGACATCACTAATTATAAAAAAACAAACACATATCTATAGACTTTTAAGTATTAGGTGGTACTAAATGTTATTAAGTTAAAAAAAACACACAACCTTACTCAGGTGATCGAGGTTAACAGAAGGCAAGCAAAACGAGCAGAGGACCATATCTGATGTTACAACTGTATCTGGGTTTATGTTACATATAATACTCTGATAGAGATCCTGAAGGAACTAACTTGAGCTGGATGTGTGGCCCTACCCACAGAAGATCATTTTAAAGTTCTCAGTTCCAGAACTGAATCCATCAAATATTTTTTTCTGTTAGCTATACTAGTTGGCCAGTTCAAGTAGTAGTCAATCTGGCTAAAGATTTTACGTAGCTTTAGCTGACTCTTGTCCTTAAATTGGGCTACAATGCTTTCCAACTAAAGATTAAAAGACGTCGCATGCAGCTGAGATGCTTTTTTATTTTATGTTTTTTACCACCTTTTTGCACAATTGTGCGAGTGTACTCAGTGATTACAACAATCTGGAAGCTGATTGAACCTTCTATTATTCTACTTTCTGCATAAAGCTTACCAATCCTCTTCGCCAACACTTCCTTTTAATTTAAACCATTCTATAAGTAACATGATGTTCTAGCACTAGTTACTGGCAACTTGATGTGAATGCTTTCACTGTTTTGGGTTTCATTCAATGCTTTCAATTAATACTCTGAAATCACATGTGCAAATTCAATTATTCAACAGAAGTTCATGCTTTTCTTTCTCTTTTTTCTTTTAAAGAGAAAACTACAAACAAAAAGAGATCTCTAGAATCTGGTATGCATCAAAAGAACCGAGTTGATGATAAATGAAACAATGAGTATGTCTTAATCTTACATATCGTTTTCACTTTTATTTCATATAGTAGTGCTTATTGACAAGGATAAAGCATTGGAAAGGTAAAAGAGTTACCGCCTCATAATATCATCACTTTCTTTTAGTTGCCATTGTAGATTTTAGGTTAGTGACACCCAACTCAAAAGTTTGTCATGCTAATATCTTTTTATATATGAGACTGGTCACATCAAACTCTGGCAATTTGCCACAACAATATATATATTTTCTTTTTTAATGATAGGAAGTATCCGGACCAGGTTATGCGTATCTCAACTAATCATCTAGGACGTTGGAATTACAGACCGGATAAAAATTCTAGTGATCACCTCTATTAGCAACCGAAGAAGAACTCAAACTCATGACCTCTTGAATAATATACTCAATTAAATTCTTATCGAATCACTCAACCAACTAGGGGTTAGCTCAACCACAAGAATATTGATACTTTGATGTTGGAGTTGGTCAGAAAATGGAGAAGTACATATAAAATTTAGATTGTATTAACCCTTTGAAAAACTATATGATGATTAATTTATTTTTATTATAAATAATATTAATTATGAAGTTTCAGAAAATATAATTGGCATCCCATATAAATATTCCAGCAAGGGTGTTCATAATAACCATTAGTTCACTGATCTATTTGCTTTGATGATCATGGGAAATTCTAAAACTTTTTCTCAAATAATACTTAAAAATTATTATCCCGAGTGGTGGACGGTGTTTTGATATATACAGTTTAATATATATATATATTCACCCTTCTATTAATTAATAAACAAAGTTTTTGACCATTTATAAACCTAACATACAACTCCAAAAAAGTTATTGCCTGCAGATTTACTTTGAAATTTACAACACATACATTTATCTTTATAATGCTATACCTGCCACATAAAATCACAAATGTCCACTATATGAATTTTACTATTAACCGAACAGCTGTTTCCCTCAAAATGTGCTTAACTTAATTAAATAAACTTTAGTTTATATGAATTGTATGTCTGGCATGCATAAACGTAACACTCCTTTTCTCTTGAGTGTTTTTTCTTTTTCCTCCATCGTGTCGTTCCTTCAATGATAAAAATACTTCTATTTAGAACTCAATTAGTAATTTTAAGCCCTCCATCTCTTTGATTAATTACCTCCAATTCTATAGAATTACAAGCTAGCTGAGTTGGAAGATAATGCTTGTTAACTACTATTAGGTCAAGGATACGAAAACAATTTTTTTTTTTTTTTTTTTTTTTGAGGGGGGGGAGCGGGGGCGAAGGTGTTTGAGTCCGCTTATTCGCACTTCAACTAATCTCTCGGGACCTTAAAATTATTGGTCGGATAAGAGTTCCAATAGCTACCCTTATTAGCAACTGAGAAAAGACTCAAACTTAGAACCTCTTGAGTGATACACTCAAGAGTCCTTATCAAACCATTTGACGGATACGAAAATTTTCAAACACATGACGTTTACATTTTTTTTAAAGATTTTTTCTTTTTCTTTTTTATTGAAATTTTATTAACTGTGTTTATTGACTATTGGAATAAATTAATCAAATTTTGATATGATCGGGTAAGAGTTTCAATAATTTTCATATCTCGTGTAACTTCTAAGCCCGCTTAGCATTTTCTACGTGTGAATAGTTGGTGTCAAAATCAAGTATCAACAAATTAAAAATAAACCTAGTCACATAGTCAAGTACAATAATTGGTGACAAATAAAAAAATCTAAACTATAAAAATAACTTTGTCTTGTAAAGAAATTGACAAAATGGTTAAGGAGAAATCAGAAATCACATGGACATATCACATATGCAATTAATAACTCTAACTATCACATTATTGATAACAATTTAAGTCATCTGATTAATTAATTTTCATGTATTCTATTTTTAAACATGTTGCAGAGACTTAGATATAAACAAGGCATGTGCAAGCTTTAGTGTCTAATTATCTTTGCTTCCAATTCAACAGCAGATTCTTCCAGCTCTTAATTAATTAATTTATTAAACGATAATTAAAATATAATATTGATCGTTTTCAGTCACGAGATACTTCCATAGTTTGTAAACTCTAAACCAGACAAAAATTAATCATAGAGCTGCAAGCTTTATATAATTAGCACATTTGGTCGTCAAATTTTATTATATGCTCATGAACAGAGATTACAAATGTGTTGTATTATTTATTAATCAAGTTAGCAATCAAATTAATTATTATGAATAATATGGAGTTTTGAACGTGCACACCGACAATAATGATTCAATAAAGATGGGTTAACAAACGAATCACACAAATTTTCTTTTATAAACTCAATATAACTACTGATAATTAGTTTATGATGAACTCATCATGCAGAAAAATTATTAATCTCTTAGGACGAGAATAAAAGAGATCAATCAATTTTTTTTTTTTTTTTTTGTTTAATCTAAGTGTTTGGGTCAATATACGTACTTCAACTAATTTTTCGAGATCGTAGAATTATTAGTTGAATAAAAACTTCAATAATCGGTCATAATTAACAACCGTGAGTATTCGAACTTGAAAGATCATGTTAGGTTTTCTTCCTATTCTTTTATCATCAGAAGACTCTAACGTGAGAGATCATATTAGATCTCATTTACTGTTTCACCATCTAACTATCAATAGTGATTAATCAAATTCAATGTTGTCCTAATATAATTTCTCCCAAAATTTTATCCAATTAATAAGTAGTTAAATATTTTTTATTTCCGGAAAGCTCTAGAAAGGTCTGGCCAATCCTGAAACATAGCACTTCCCTCAGTCATCGAAGTACAATTACATCGAATCATGAAATTCCGCAAAACGCAAAAGTCCAAAACTAAAAACGGTGGCGTAGCTCTGAACCAACCATTTGCTTGGAGTAGGTAGTGTGCTTTGCTGGCGCATGCAGCATAACTGAGTCAGCAAACGTGGAGTCTACGTGTCAAAGTCATCTATATCCGACACGATGCATGAACTGGAGACTGGACACGTGTCGCGCATGAACCATCCTTTTATTTCTATATATAGTCACCCTTCTTCATCTCTCTCTCTCCATTCATTCATTCACTGCCGTGACTAAATTCACCCACTTTTTTCTTAATCTCCTCGCTCAATTTTCCCCATCTTTAAACAGAAAAAACTCTCTCTTGCTTTCCCGGGAAAAAAAAAATATGAAGGAATCCGTGGGAAACCCTTTGCATCTTAAGTCTTTGAACCATGTCTCACTCGTTTGTCGATCGGTTGAAGAGTCCATTGATTTCTACCAGAATGTTCTCGGTTTTGTCCCCATAAGGCGGCCCGGTTCTTTCGACTTTGATGGCGCATGGTGATTGATTAGTTTAATTTTTATGGATTAACATCAATTTAACACGTAATTCATTTTTCTATCTTGAAGTAATGAAAATGTCTTGTGTTTCATTTCATAGGCTGTTTGGCTACGGAATTGGGATTCATTTGTTGCAATCAGAGGATCCTGAGATTTTGCCGAAGAAAAGCGAGATTAATCCCAAGGATAATCATATCTCTTTCCAGGTTACTTTTTTTGTTTGTTTATCTTCCTTGATTAAACTATTCATAGAGTTTGATTTTGTTACGACTCTTTGACTTTTTAATAATTTTAATGAGTGCAGTGTGAGAGCATGGGAGCGGTGGAGATGAAACTGAAGGAAATGGGAATCAAGTACCTGAGATCGATGGTGCAGGAAGGAGGGATCGATGTGGAACAGATGTTTTTCCATGACCCGGATGGCTTCATGATCGAAATATGCGACTGCGATAATCTTCCGGTGATTCCGCTCGTCGGTGAGATGGCTCGCTCTTGTTCCCGGGTGAACCTCCAAATAATGCAGCCACCGCAGCTACGAGTGGTGCAGCAGTGATATATAATTATATAGAACAATCTGTCTGTTTTCTTTATTATTAATATTAATATTATTATTATTATTATGTCGTTGTTCTTTTTTTTTTTTTTTTTGTTTTTATGTTGTGTGGTTTAGGTTTTTGTAATAAGACATTTTAAGGAATGTAATCCAGCACCAAATGGAAATGATCATTTCGTTAATTACTTGAATTGTAAATTTTAAAGAGACTTTGTGTTAAATTGTTTATGATTAATTAAAGTTTGTTTAATTATGGTCGGTGTAGTATGTAAACTATGCAAATAATTCCAATTATTTGGGCAAATGAATGCATTTATGGAGCTGACAGATGGGCCCGTTACCAGAAAAATATATTTCAAACAAAGTGGCTTCACAGTAAGCATGCAGTAACGCTTTTTTGTTTTTGGGTTAAAACACTGGGAAATTATAGGGTTTGATGGAATTATATTATTGTACCCAAGTCTAGTGGTGGATCCAAAAATTATTTTTAGGATGGGTTAAAATAAAAATTAATTACATATTAATATTTTTATCCATTAATATTTTTATTAGGGTGGGCCAAAATCTAAAAAATATATATATTAATATTTAAAAAAAAAATTGAGGGTGGGCCAAAAGTGGGTTGGATCCGCCCCTGCCCAAGTCCAATCAATTTAATTATCTTTGGGTGATCGAGTGGTTCGATAAAAACTCTTGAAAGTTTTTACTCAAGATGTCTTAAGTTCGAGTTCCTCCTCAATTGCTAATAGGATAGCCACTAGAGTTATTATCTAGTTGGTAGTTCCAAAGTCTTAGGAGATTAGTTGAGGTGCGTATAAGTTGGTTTGGACACACTAGGTTATAAAAAAAAAGAAAAAAAGAAAAAAATCCCAAAAATTTTAGCTAAATTAACAAATGGATGGAGTTAAAAAATAATATAAATATTTTAAAAAAATATTTTCTAATATTATACCAAATATATTTTCAGAATCCAACTATATCCTATTCAAAATAAGATTTTAGAAATGCTATTTAAAAAAGTGTACCAAAGGCAACCACTAGTATTACTGATATTGTACCACAAAATAATACATATATATATATATCAAATAATTATTACATGTTAATAACTACTAATTAAAGATAGAGGAATTATAAAGATTAATGTCCTCCTACACCGTTGTAATTTAGATTCTTCTTTTAAACAGGAAAAATAAAATTTAGAGAAGTATCAAAAATCCACCTGGAAAGTGATGGGATAATAGAATATCATATTGTATTCTAGATTTTTTTTTTTTTTTTTTTTTTTTCTTTTAAAACCAATCATTTGATTTGATTTAAGAGTGCGTAGTGCTCTGCTGGTGCATGCAACTCCGTTGAGTCAGCAACGTGGAGTCTACGTGTCAAAGTCATCAATATCATTATCAGACACGATGGATGAAATCACTGAAATGGACGCGTCAATGAGTCATGCACGAAACAGACTTTTGTTAGTTGTTTCCATAAATCTGTCTGTCTCTTGAGTCTTAGACTGATTCAATCAGTGTCGTGACTCGTTCACCAATTTTTTCTGCCTATCTTTAGATAACAATCGATGTTTTAAAAGGGTTCAAAATTTACTTGTTGAGAGCAAGGTTTAGGATTAGGAAAATGAACGATAATGTGGAAAACCCTTTACGACGACTTAGGTCTCTAAACCATGTCTCATTTGTTTGTAGATCACTTGAGAAGTCCCTCAATTTCTACCAAAATGTTCTTGGTTTTGTTCGTATAAAGAGACCTGGTTCTTTTGACTTCACTGGGCATGCGTGGTATATTTTATACTACTCCATTTTCTTATCTTCCTTTCATGTGATTATTATTCAGTTGTTGAGGTGAACTGTTATTGTTTCATTATAGGCTGGATGGTCATGGAATTGGGATTCATTTGTTGCAGTCGGATCGTCCAGACAACATACCTAGGAAAAAAGAGATTAATCCGAAGGATAATCATATCTCTTTCCACGTAGGGGTCGGCAAAAAAGTAGGATAGAACTGGAACCGACAGGTACCCGAGGTTTCGATTCCAGTTCCTACCCAAAACCAACCCTTACAGGGTCAGTTTCAGTTCTAAAAAATCAGAATGGGTACTATACGGTTCCGGTTTTGGTTCCACCACTGCAGAAACCAAAACCAGAATTGGAACCAAGAACCCGGTACTCAGGTAGGAACTGAGATTGAACCATAATTTTTGTAAATTTTGGGATGTATTTGTCATTTTTGTGAATAATAGGGGCAATCGTAATTTTTTTGGGTACCTGGAACTGGAACTTGAAACACAGGTTCTAGTTCCAGGCTTTTAGGAATCAGAACCAACTGATTTCAGTTCCAAATCCCAAGAACTGGCCGATTCTAGTTTCGATTCTATGGGATTTGGGCGGGTACCCAAACTCGCTCACCCCTATTTCCAAGTAATAAATTTTCAACCAGTTTTTCTATTATATGGAACAATCTTTTAAGCTTTTTAGGTGGTATCATAACCAAAGGTCTAAAGTTAAAAAATGTTACGTGAGGGGCCTATTTCACAAATATAATATTGAGTCCTAGTTAACTTATAAAACTTTTAGGTGGGATAAGAATTTAACAAATGAAATGTTGCTTAATTTGTTGAATGGCAGTGTGAGTGCATGGTGTCAATGGAGAAGAAACTGAATGAACTGGGGATTAAGTACGTGCGAGCAGTGGTGCAAGAAGGAGGGATTGAAGTGCACCAGTTGTTCTTCCATGATCCAGATGGGCTCATGATTGAAATGTGTGATTGTAATAATCTTCCTGTGGTTCCTCTGGTTGGAGACACAGCTCAATCATGCTCACGATCGAACCGCCACATGATGGAGCAGCCGCAGCAAGGAGTAGCTCGGTGATCATCATCGATCAATACCCGTTGGCTGCTAGTTAATGAGAGCACTCCTGAATCTTTCTGAATTCTGTAAGGGGAAATTTATGCGAAGATTGATATGTCCACAATATCCGTCATTTCAATAAATTAAATAAAGATTTGCATTTTTACTAACCCATGGACAGTTCTTGAATCAATTATACAATAAAATCTCTTTATAATCATGGTGGGATTAATTAATTTTTTAGTTATAACTTAATAGAGGTGTAATAACAAAAATTTCTTTATAATTCATGTTTTAGTATTACAGTATTAGGATTTCAATTGATGTTTTAATACTATTAGGATTTCGATTCAGCGCTTCAATTGTCTACCTTTGAAACGGATAGAAGATCATGTCTTGAAACCAACAAAAATAAATGTCCTTGATGGAATTATAAATGCAGTTGTTGTATTGTCAAATTGATGTGAAACCACAAACTATTGCCAATTGTTTTAATCATTACAAAATTAGGATTCCTAATGTTGATAAATTGCAAGTTACAAATGAAGTGAATGAGGAGAATCAAAGAGTCATTGTAGAATTTAGTGATCAAATTGGACAACTTCATTGCACTAATCGAATGGATATTAATATATTTCTCAATCATCCAAATTAGTAATAAGTCATGTATGCTTTAACTAAAGAAGAAATCATTGCTACAATTAGAGAAGAAGATAAATGAAATGATTATGAGGATTATAGTACGGAAATACAATTTTTTTGTGCCAAGAAGCTCTAAACATACTTGAGAAGCTAGAAATATTTGGCTTTAACAAGAAAATATTCATAGTAGTGAGTAATCTAGCCACAAGTTAAAAGATGTGGTAACAACTCTGAAGCATAAATCATTATCTCAAACAACTTTAAATAAATATTTTATTACATCTTAAACCTTTAATGTAACATAGCATATTTTTTTTTTGCAATATACAGATAATTATTACTATATGGAGGCAATTTTTTTTAAGAAAAGAATTAGAAAAATTATAACTTATTACAATATAAAGTTTATTTTTATTTATAACTATCCCAAATTGGGAATATAATTTTTTATGACTATGTAGAGTTTATTCCTATATAAAGTATCATTATAGAGAAGTTTTACTGTAATGAGAAAATTCCTACAAGCGGTCGCATAGCGTTAGATCTACAAGGTGAAGAAAAAACAAAAACACCAATATTTTAAAATGGAACAAAATAAATAATAGGAATTAATTATTATTTATATAAAAATATTCCTAAAACCATAGGATAATATATAGGTAATTCACCCATTTTGGATATGTGGTTCGAGACTCGAGAGTAAACGACTTTTTACCACCGAAGGTTTGTCTTAATGACACTTTCCCACCTAAAGATTATATTCCGTTACTATCCAAAGCCAATTCCGACAGCGAATTCTCTCTATCACCACCATTTGAACCTCAAGTCTCCTCTTGACAAAACTCTTTCTCACTGCGGCACTTGATTTCTCATCGATTGTCAGCCATTACACAATTAAGATTTCCTATTCTTACTTAATTTCTGGTTGATTCCGACGACGAATATTCAATCGGTCACCACCATTCGATCTACCGACCTCCGCTCTACAAAATCCGTCTTACCCTGACTCCTAATAATTGGTAGAATATCGGCTGAAAAAGTGAAGTGTATTTTGAGTATTAACAAAATATAAACTTTGATGGGAAAGTGTCAAGATTAATTACTGAGTAATGGATGTGATCCACCACAAGAGAAAAGTGATCATTTTGTTTGCTTTTTTGTCCTTTCCTTAATCTTTCAATTTTAAAATAGTATTAATGGGAAAAATTTTACGTTTATAAATTTCATATGCAAAGTAATGTGACACACAATACATTAAAGTTAATTACTAACATCACACCAATTTATATGTTGTCACGTTAACATAAAATTAAATCAGAGTAGGATGTAAAATGCAAATAGTTATGTTTAACTTGCGCTATGAATGGGTAATCTAGTGCAATTGTTTGAGGTTGAGAAATATAAATGTACTAAAGAATTTATGGAGTGGACAGGGCGCTTATAATATGTCAAATTAATGCAGAACAAAATGCTTCTCCACAAGCATGATTTTGTGGGGTTTTGGCCCTTTATGATATTTGTTTTCTCAATCATCAAAATGGGCCTTAACTAATGTCCCATATAGCCTTTAATGCTGAAGGCTTTGTTTTTCACAACACCGCGATGAGGAAAAAAAAATCTAAATTAGTCATATTACCACCCTCCAAAGAATTATGCCACTTTTAAATTTTGTGTTTCTCCGTTATCTTTGAATTAAACGTGAGTGGTAGTTATTAAATATATTGGTGTCAAAGTTTCACATCCTTTAAAAGACGAGGGCCTTATTATATAGCATAATGACACCTTCATTACCTAGAGACCTTTTTTAAGAACAAAATTGTGTAGGCCTCAGGGTTCAAAATTGATAATACCTCTAGAAACCCACTTACCATGCGTGTTTAGATCTGGCTTTTGAGAGACGTCTTTTCAAAACAAAACCGTGCAGGCTTCAGGGCATCTATCTGGACTTGCATACAGCAACAAAAGGTAATAACTACTTGTCATGTATCTATCATCTTATGGTATCACATCGATAATATCACTGTGGTACCATAAATACACGGAGTAGGAAGTCGTTTTATCCTTCACTTACAAATGGATTTTATAAGTCAATCGGGATGAAGTACAACTACTCATGAGTTCTATGATTCAATTTTTAACGTAATATATATATATATATATATTTTATTTTATTTTTTTCTCTGGCTAGTGTGAATGAAATTTCCCTTTTATGACAATAATCACTGAGAAAACTGTGTAACTATGAAAATAAAGAATGAGCAGAAAGAGTAATAAGAAGATGAGCTTCGATTCTTTTTTAATCAACTTCATTTATAGATATGCTCGAAATAATACAGTTTATTTGACCCTTACAAATGCTTGACCCTCTAAGACATAAAACTTAAAAGAGAGGAAACAAGTTACATTAACAAACGAAATAATAATTATCAAAAAATAATAATAATAATTAATCGTTACAGCCCTCTAGCCAGCATCTGCTCGTAGTTCTCAATGGATTCAAGCCTTTGAATCAACAGTTGTTTCCTGAACTTCTTGATGAATGCCTCTGCACTTTCGTTTATGTCCATGGATGGCTTACTCTCTAGCTTACTTCTTGTGGCGGTCATTGTTGCTGCAGGTTTCTTCTCCACAACTTGGGGCCTCACACCGCTATTATTTTTATTCACTCTCAAATCACTTGTATCTACTTTCTCTTCCGCCACTGCGGAGCTGCAAAACGGATGAGGAGGAGGCGGCGGCATCGAGCTAATATTATTCTTCATTGCAGATGGCTTCTCCTCTGGCCTGAAAAGGTTGACTGTAGCTTGGTTTCTTTTAGATGGTTTTTGCATTCTAGCTAGGGTAACATGGTTGTGTATTTATATAGGAGAAGAAATAATTGAAGTCGTATTATTTTAATGCATTATGGGGTGTGATTCCACGAGTCTTGTTGATGAGATAGCACTCCTCAAATCAAATCAAAGATAGCCACAAGATGAAATTAGATTCTTTCATTCTTAGCCAACGGATAAGCTTAATCTTTAGAGTCAAAACTCAAAAGCGTTTATGCTTTCTGGGTAGAGCTTGTTTGATTAGATTTATCTTTATTTTGTAATTCTCAATTCACAAGTAAGAGTAAACGACATATTCCCACCCGAGGTTTAGTTAAATCTCAAGTTGATACCCTTAGTTGCATTTATTCCAAATTCTCATATTAAACTAATACTGTTAGTGACTGTTGAAGGTGGTAAAAAACGATGAATGAGGTCGGTAAGTGAAGGTATGGGTTTTATAGAGGAGATTGTGGAGAGTCCAACGATGGTCTTGAAAATGATTTTGGACTTCGGAATGGGCCAAGAAAAGCCAAAAATTGTCGGCTTAGATGCTATTAACGTGAGCCTTTTTTGCTAACATGAGCCCTTCTTGGCCAAAGAAAGAGCTGACGCACTTTAACATGCTAACGTGCGTTTCACTACAGTGAAAAGTTGAGAATCTGTTAAAATAAAAGAAACGATATTATTTTAAGGATGAAAATCTGGAATAAATGAAATCAGAAGTATCAACTTGAGATTTCGTTAAACCTCGGATGGGAATATATGGTTTGCTCGCACAAGCAATAACATAGTACCAAGTCAAAGGAAACAATCAAATAAAGGTAAAGTAAAACCAGGTTGGCCAAAATGACACAAAAAGGAAAGGCCGATTTGCTTAATGCGACAGTTTTTGACTTTGAAGAAGGCAAACCTAACCATAAAATTACCCACACGCAAGTGATTGATAGAGAAATGAATTGAAACGTGCGGCTGAAGAGATGGGTTAGGGCCGAAAGTTGGCAAATTAAGTCGGCATTGTTGGCGAGTCAGGCAGCAATAATGGCCAGCTTTCAATGCAAGGATAAAGTACACCACATGGCAAAATAGTATAATATTATATGTTTGTTGAAATGTCATAAAGACAGGTATGGATTAGAGTTGGCATCTTTTTAATACCAAACTAATACTCTGGGCTCATTTGCACTTTCATCCTAATACTCTGGGGTATATCGTATTTACCTTTAATATTATGAGATACAAACAATTTAGTCTAGTTGGGTGAGCCTTTTCAATAAAAAATCTGTAATAGCCTAGTTTTATCCACATGTTATTAGAAATGAATAAATGTGAAAAAAAAGTAAATTATCGTATTTTATTCATTTATAATAAGTATTCATAACCATTATATCCAACTTTTTTTACTCTTTTTATTTTTTATTTTTTATAATACGTGAATAAAACAACAAGGGTATTATAGACTTTTTCATATTGAAAAGTCTCACTGGACTAAATTGTTCAATTTCATCCCTCATGTTTGGTTTAAGTAACACTTTAATCTAGCAAAGTCTTTTTAATAATGTTTTGATC